CCCCCCCCCCCCTCTACCCAGCCTCTCTCTCACCCATCGACTCAATTTACATCTTCACTAACTGCCTGTCTTGCATGCATACCAGCCCAGCCTTTGGCTTCTTTACTATTCATTGAATCCAGGAAGACCACATACCAACTGCAGAGGCTTCCTCAGCCTGACGTAGGGTTTTTAAACCCGAAAGCTTGCTAAGAAAATGTGTTTCCAACTATTTAAGTTGGTCTAATAAAATATATCAGATTCACTCAAAGAACCTCATCCTTTAATGTTTCTAAAATCTTTTAAGAAATTTGGTTAGAAGTTACTATGCAAGTGCAAAATATTATATAGACATTTTCATTGCCTAGATGGTGCAATGGAAATTCTGATTCTTTGGAATATAGAGAATATGAAGTGTAAAGTGTGTCTGAGTGTTTTGTAAACTGCAACAAACTGACAAAAATAGCTGTAAACATGTATTTATAGGTCACGCTCATTCACCATGAGATAACTATGAAGGACTTGTATATAATGTTTATGACTGCCTGCTTTTCAGATGTTTTTTTGTCATCAAGTAATTAGCTTTGGTAAAAAAAATTATTTTCATTTTGATTTTCAGGTCTTTCATTTTTTACTTTTGGTACTTTAAAGAACATTGGACTTACTCATGCGCCCAGTCTGCTTGGAAGGCCTTCATTAGATAATCCTGATGTCTTAGTTTTGAAAACACATGTAAATCTTCTGTGTGGTGGCATAGCTGGAGCTATAGCCCAGACAGTATCGTAAGTGTACCCCGTTTGTTCTTCATCTAACTTCTTTACTTGTGTGCAGTGGATTATAGTAAGAGATCTGAGGCATTGTGCACAGGTTGTCTCCCTTTTTGGTGAAGTTCTAGCCATGTTGAGAATTTAGTTTGAACTCTTACTCATTTGTTAAAAGAACTTTTTATGGTTTCAATGGACTTTTCATATGGTGTGGTGTTTTTTTTTTGTTTTTGTTTTTTTTACCAGTATTGGTATCTTCATCATGTAGATGGTTGAAATGTTGTTCAAAAATATCTTTAATTTAGGTATCCACTTGATGTAACTCGTAGGCGAATGCAGTTAGGAACAGTTCTTCCAGATTCTGAGAAGTGCCTGTAAGTGTTTTCTTTACCCTTCAGTTTTCAAGTTCTTAAATACATAATTAAACCACTTAGTATAATAAGTGATATACTGTATTCTAGCTTGGTTATCTAAACAAGATAAAATGTTTTTGTGCTCTCTAGCCAGGAGGGAAGTTGCACAATAAATAACTTCAGTGATAAGGATCTGCTATTAGCAGGAGGTTATCATTGTGTTGGGAATCAGTCTTCTCCAATTTCCCTTGGGATAACTAGGCTGCAGATGCCCAATCCTACTTAAGTATAATACAGCTTTCATTGACTTGAGGGGTGCAAGATCAAGCCCGTAGTTTCATAGTTGGTAGGTTTGGAAGGGGCCTAAGCAGATCAAGTCTGACCCCCTGTTATGGGCAGGACAGGATGCTGTGGTCAAAAGACCTTGGTTAGGTGTCTATCTAGTGTCCTTTTGAAGACCCCCCAGGATAGAGGCAAGCACCACCTCCCTTGGAAGTTGGTTCCAGCTCCTAGCTGCCCTGACCATGAAGTTAGTGCCTCCTGATGTCCAGCCTGAATCTACTCTGTCAGATTATGGCCGTTATTCCTTGCAACTCCTGGTAGTGCTTGGGGGAGCAGGTACTCCCCCGTTGCCTGCTGGTTCCCCTTGGCAAGTTTGTAGGTGGCCACCAGATCCCCTCTCAGCCTTCGTTTGTGGAGGCTGAACAGGTTCAGGTCCCGCAGCCTCTCCTTGTAGGGCCTACCCTGTTGCCCCCTGATCATGCAAGTGGCCCTCCTCTGGACCTTCTCAATGCTGTCCACATCCTTCCTGAAGTGCAGCGCCCAGAACTGGATGAAATACTCCAACTGCGGCCTGACCAGTGTCACACAGAGGGGGAGGATCACCTCCTTGGACCTCCTTGTGATGCATCTATGGATGCGTGACAAGGTGCGGTTAGCCTTCCTGAGATATCCTATCCATGAGATATGGATAAAAGATCCATATCTGAGCATGATAAAAATCTGTCATTCACACTTCACTTTCTGTGCTGTTTTTCCTGGTTGACTTACTAGAATCCCCAGTAATGGGAGACACTATGGTTCCAGTATCTTAGGCTTTTCCATAGTGTGGTAACTTCGGGTAGATGCAAAAGCTCCATAACATAACATCATCCTATTGAATTAATACTTTCCTTGAGATGGCATTTGTACGAAACAAATTGAGGTCCACAGTTGCTGTACTCTTGGTAAGCTTCATCTAGTTAATGTATTGCTTTTCAGCTGTCTATGAAAGACCCAATTATTAGTTTTAGTGGGCTCTTGCTTCCTGCATTAGCAGTAATTAACTATTTTAAAGAAACTAGTCTAATTAATATAGTTTTGGCAATTGTATGTGGAGGAATTCTAGTATTGAGAGACAGTAGTCGTCATGTATAGCTTTGAGCATTTGGAAGAGCATGGAACGTATTTGGGAAGTAATTTCTTCAGGAGTCAGTGTGTTGAGAACCTGGATTTGTACTGCACTACTTTTTATTTTACCATTTATCTGCTAATAGTTGTATGCCTTCTTCAGTACTAAAGGAAAACAGACACTTAGCTGAAGATCAAATGCATATACTGCATTAATAATAAGCTAAAATGGTGTATCTGTGAAAACGGCACAGCTCTTTATCAGAGACTGTTATGTAAGCCTAGAAACTCATTGTTTAAGCAAGGTCTGAAATACACAAATTGCTTTAAAACTTGAGCCTTAAAGAAGGATGGCCATGTAATTAATCCACTTGTCTGGGATTTGTAATGGTTGTAATCTTGGCTTTGATACAGACTTCCTGTGTTAACTCTCTGATTTAAGTATCTCTCTTGTAAAATATAGATAATACTTTCCTACCTAACAAAAGATTTGCCAGGTTATCAAATTTTTGAGGGGTGTCATGCAACTTACTTTTTATGCTAAGAAATTTGTAAAGAAAGATGTATGCTTAAAATTTAAATTTT